TGGTGCTTTTCCGGATTGGTACTTGCCCTATTTAGCTTGTATTCCAATCGCAGTGACCTAAATGAGTATCACCAAATTCTTATACTCATGAGTAGTCACCATTATCTCTAACATTTCGAACGTCTTTGTAAATTCACGGCAACTGACAAAGGAAGTCCTGACACCGGCTTGTCAACCACCGTCCCCCTCAAAGGCAGTAACCTGCATGGCAATGGAGGATTGGTCGTGCTACATCACAGTTAGATGTCTATCCATGGTGGTCACCTATCATTCCCGATGGCTCAGTGGCATAATCTGCTGGCTAGTGGTACAAGTCTGGAGGAGACCATGGGAATGCGCACCATTGACGAGCTCAAACAGGGCGAAACGATTGTCCGGCGCTTTCTCTGGTCGGTACTTGACCTATCTGACTTGTAATCGAACTATATTGAACTAAATACATCTTACCAGACCCACGCACTCATGAGTACTTCACTGCGCACCCCGACGCTGTCTTAGTTATTCGAGTGTATGGCCCGGTGGCCGAGTAGTTTGCACATTCGCTTTGCAACCATAAGGCCACCGGTTCGAATCCGCGTAGGGGTGGGCGTCCTCGCGGTATACTCAACCCGCGCGTGACTGGTGGTGGTCGCGCGGCAGCGAAGCGCCGTTACGGCGTACAGCTGACACATTAGTGTGTGGCGCTTACAATGTTCACGCATTTTAGGAGACCAAATTTTACGCAGTGTATCCGAAATAGGAGGCAATGAACTACATTTTACTTCGCTTACTGAACCGTGAAACTTATACGTTATCTTTATGTTGAGCACCACTCTCTGACTGCAAGTTGCAGTCTCGAATGCTGAATTTGGTCGTTGCATGGTCTTTAAATTATTTTACTACACCCCACCAATCAGCTGGTTAGCATTTAGTTTCTGGTTAACTTGCTTGTGTTTTACAGCACGCGCCTATCTCACTCCCGTAGTCTGGTAATTCTGCCACCCTCAATCGATCGCTTGTGAAGTACTAAAAGGAGTTTCACTCTGTGTTGTTGCGTCTGCTCTCAGTCTTTGGCTAGTGAAGGGCACACACTACAGGTTCAAATCCATACGAGTGTTCACTTGCTTCAGGATGGTGATCACATGTTGGGTGTCATCTCTCTCTCTCATTTGCATGTGCTTGCGGGTATTACGCTTACCATTACCCTTCAGCAATATTCTTATTTCATCAGCAAAAATATGATCACTAGCGGTATTGAGTAAGGAGTTCCTTTCCGCTAAGCCATATTCATGCGCCTACGTTTGCATATGGGAAATCAAGCACAGTCAGTTCCCATCTGGTATTGTGGATTTAGTACCGCGTCATTCAGTTCGACACTTGGTCCTATACCCAAGTGGACAACTGAGTCGAACTCATCTAAAGGAATCTACGTTACGCTTGGCGCCGCATCGGCTGATGGGTTTATTCAGGCTTCTCAGTTGTGACCTTGATAACCTATATGTGCAGTGTGTGTAGTTTCCATAGATGTCTCCTTGTTGATATCATGTCTAATGGCTCGCGATTTCACTGCGATTGGGTCATTTACCTGCTGCTTGCCGTCAGCTTTAGAGATTCCCGCCTCTTTCCATGCCTCTTCGTTTTTAGACACTTTCGGATGAGGTGGTAAATAGCCACTGGGTAGGGACCAGCTACACGTGAAGACGTTGGTTTGGGCTAGCTGCGTTTGTTGACTTTCAACAAGTTTGTACCAACAAGTACGCATTGGTCTTACTTGCCATATGTGAATCGTATGGAGTACTCGTCCTCTTTTCGTTACTTAGAACGAGTCGGTTTCGTGAGAATAAAACCATTGACCGCCTCAACTCTTTCCTCCATTGGCATTTCCAATGCGGTTTCTCTGCGCACACTTTGTTATAGGATATTAATCATATGGGGCTAGTTGGTGCATAACTACGCATATTCGCCTGCTATATTCATTCCAATGGCGCTTCCTGTATTTCTCTATTTGTACTTGTGTTAAATGAGAGGAAACCACTGTTTCATGTCATCGAAAGGTGGCTGGGGAAATTACAACCACGTGTGGCCCAGCTCACGTACATCCGTTTGTCACAGGATTGTCCGTCACTTCTAGATGTTTTCCCTAGACATATTCTATGCGTTTGTCAACCTTCTTCCTTGATACCTGTCGATTTCAGTTTGCTCAAGCGGATCACATCGCTGTGGGGTTGGTTCACTTATTAGCATTTCCCGTTTGTCTTTACATGAATTACTAGTGAAACTGTGGGAGCAGGAGACTGTCCCAACCGACTGGAGCGGCTCCGTTATTGTTCCCACCTTCAAAGGCGGCTCGCGCTCGGAATGCGGCAACCATAGAGGAATCAGTCTGATCTCCATCGCCTCCAAATTACTCGCCTCCATAATTCTTCACAAACTGACTGGCGCTCGTGAAAGCCAGATTCGTGAGGAGCAAGCCGGGTTTCGTCGTGGTTGTGGCTGCATTGACCACATCTTCACTTTGCGTCAGTTGTTGGAGCACCGCCACACATATTGGCGACCCACCGTAGTCGTGTTCCTCGACATCAAAGGTGCATTCGATTCGGTTGATCGATATGCCCTTTGGAATTGTTTACTCAGGAAAGGTGTGCCCGAGAAATATGTAAATATTATCCAAGCATTATGTGCGCATAGCACGGGCAGAGTAAGGGCTTACGGCAAGCTGTCGCCACCCTTCAATATCTCCAGCGGTGTGAGACAAGGATGCCCGCTGTCACCTTTCCTCTTCAACTTCGCTATTGACGAAGTCATGGAGTTTGCATTTACAGGACATGATTTAGAAGGTGTGGAGCTACTCCCGGGAGAACGACTTCTTGACTTGGAGTATGCAGACGACATTGCCCTCATCTGTGACAGCTCCCGGGCGTGCCAATCCGCGCTGGACAGATTAGCACTGGCTGTCAGCCACTTCGGGCTTTGCTTTGCACCATCGAACTGCAAAGCGTTCCTCCAAGATTGGCAGGGATGGCCTCCTGCGCGGACCGTTGGTGGGGATCAGCTAGAAGTCGTTCAGTAATTCAATTACTTGGGGAGTTGTATCAGCGCCCTTGGGATCGAAGACGAGATCAAGAAACCGTATAGCGAAAGCTCGAAGTGCTTTTGCTAACCTTCGCCACCTATGGCGTCGGCGCGACATCACTCTCGCCCTGAAGGGTAGAGTTTACATTGCAGCGGTACGTTCGACCTTACTGTACGGTTGTGAAATCTGGTCCCTAAGGTCGGCGGACTTGCAGAGGTTAGTTACGTTCGACCATCGGTGCCTTCGCAGTTTGGCTCACATCTGGTGGGAACACCGCGTGAGTAACGAGCGTGTTCGACGCAGTGTTTACGGCCCAGGAAAAGGATCTGAACCGCTCAGCACCGTTATTTCCCGCACCAGGCTCCGATGGCTCGGCCATGTGTTACGCATGCCAGTCCACCGACTCCCTTGATGTGCGTTGTTTGCTCACCGGGGATGTGGGTGGAAGAAGAGGAGAGGTGGCCATGCGATGACTTGGTCCAGGAAAATGAAGTCCCTCACTTTTGAGCTGGCCTCGGTTGGAGCGTCACGGCTCCCGGGTTGGGGTCCAAAAGACGGTGAACACGTTTGGCTGGATACACTTGCTGACATGGCAAGGGGCCGACCTCAGTGGCGTTTGTGCTGTGAGTTTCTTTGTCCCTCCCCATTCCTTTTAGCCTCCTCTTCCATCTACGATCTCATTTCGTAAGGTAAAACATAATAAAAAAAATTTTTGCCGTTGCTGGCTGGTAGCTTACGGGAACGATGCCTATCCGTTGCTGGCAGCTCAAATGGCATGCAACTGTTGTATCTATTTTTCCTCTGTGTAATATATCATATGTATGTATGTATTTCCTTCATGTATTGCGGCACAATAGCGGAGGTGTTTTTCCCACCTCTAGCTGATGTGTATAATGATGATGATGATGTTTGTCTTCAAATCCGCGGTCGTCTATGGCGACGGTTCCGTGTACAGCGCTTTGGTCTGTTCTTGCCGAGTTCAGTTCAGTTGAACAACTATGATCCGGGCACCGAACTGCATTGGATCCAATTGCCAAGGCTCTTCACCACAATAACAGTAAATAACAACGGCAATGAAATGAGATTAGATGCAAGTGGAATATACAAAAAATGGAATCAAGGTGGTAGGTTAAACTAATAATAATGGAACGTAAATTAGCAGCTATATGCTAGAAATCGAATGTAGTAATACCACGGACTAAGCGACTTCGCCATGTCTGACAGGGTATCAAACCATTGGTGTGAACCATCCGGACGCCTCATCCAGGAAGACGGCGCGCACCAGCCTGACCAAGGTCCTCGGTCAATTTCTTCATGCCTCTATGCCCCGTCACACTTCGTGTTTAAGATTTTCGGAAATTACACGCATTCGATCACCTTTGCTTGCGGAGTATTTCTCATTTATGGTGCAACCGCTGAGTGAACACTACTCAAGTCTGCCAGTTAGTGTTTGTAAAAAAAACCGTCTAGTGTCTCATTGAATTTTCCACTGAATTTGAACCCCTTACCTTGGTTATACCATGTCTCTGTATGTCCATTGATCGCCCTCCTCGGTGTGCATTATATGTTGTTGCTTCCCCAAGTTGAACGATAGCGCGGCATAAAATCATGAAGAAATTGGCTGAGGGACTTAGTCAGGCTTGTGCACGTTGTCTTCTTGAATAGGGGCCTCGGAATTATCCATTTTGCTGATTCACGATCTTACCTGACAACGTAGTCGCAGCTTTAGGGGCTCTTCTGAATCCAGTCTCTTGCATCTGAATGTTTATGTTCCGCCTTGCTTACTTGAGTTACCTTGCTACTGCTCCCCTTTTCTCTACCCTCCGTTTGCGTCCTTCCTCATGTTTTCATTGTTAACTGTCCTTGTTTTTCTGGTAACGCGAGTCGTGACAACTGCATCCACTGCGCTTCGACGACCAGATCACGATGAGTTGTCAAAATGTAGAGGATGCGTGTTAAGCTCTGGCTTCCCGATACTCAACCATGTGAGCATTTGATGTATGTGCGGCGGAATAAGGAACGTCTTTTGAATCTCGCCACAACCCTTTCCATTCGGTTCGCAATCCATGGTAAAGCGATTCAGATGCTACATCCCTTGTTCGTGCTCTAGCCTACATTTGACCGCTCCTACCTTGTCCTCACCCGTTTGGACTCGCTTACAGTACCATCGCAACGAGTTGTAAGCGCAAGTACATGAACGCACTACACCCATGGGGTTACCGGCTAAATACTGTTTTGTTTGCTTTACAGTTTATCATCCTTACGGATTTGACAAGCATGATGAACCCATGTTAACCAATTTCTCATCAATAACTCTTGTCTCATTCTCCTCCTACGAGAGGCTTCCATTGAATACAAGCACTTTGACGACTGTTGCACCCTCGAACTATCACATGTACGTGAGTGACTAACCTGAAATGTTTCACTTGAATTTCGAGTGCATTTTACGCTGAGTTCGACTTGAGTGCAGATACTTTCATGCTTTGTCACATTCACACGTTGGCCTCTGCTATCCCAGCTGTGTGTGTTCACACTATCCCGAGTTTACTTTATCTCGGTGGTCGTGCTCCACAGCCTTTAGCGCTGACGTTCTATTTTTTGATCTCTGTGTGACCATCGATTGGTGTCCAATTGAGCTTTCTACTTCCTTCTTTAAAATCAGCTCACGCACACGATTTGCTTTGCTCAATTCTGGATTCTCGCCGACGTATTCCGGCTGGAAGCGAACACAATGGGATTAGGAAAATTCTCAGGGCAAAACTGCGTGCTAGCCTGAAGAGAGACCACAAAGCCTGATGGTCTCATCGGAAATGGAAACAGCCGCTACGGTTGGTTACCGTCATAAGTTATGCCGTCTTGTACGGGAAACGGGCAACGGGGCACCTGTTGTTAGCGAGACCATACGCGACGACAATGAACAGCCGATCCACAGTCTGTCAAAACGCTTGGAGGTTGGACGGAACACTTTGAGAAGCAATTCAATCAGTCACACTTGTCGGCTTCTCCATGGGCCCTTGATTGCTCTACTCCCTGTGTCATCTCCGGGGATCTGCTCTCACGCACATAAATCGAACATGAGATCAGTCATTTGAAATTGAATAACGCCGCAGGGGCAGCTAAAATCCCCCATCCCTCTTTAATTTCGGCGGACCTACTCTTTCAGATGATTTGCACGTGTTACTGGTGAAACTGGGAGCAGGAAACTATCCCAACAGACTGGAACTGCTCCGTTATCGTCCCAATTTTCAAGTATGGCTCCCGTTCGGAATGCGACAATCATAGAGGGACTAGTATGATCTCAATCGCCTCTAAATTGCTTGCGTCTGTCTTTCTCCACAGACTGACTTGCACTCGTGATGGCCAGATTCGCGAAGAGGAAGTCGTGTTTCGTCGAGGTCGGAGCTGCATCGACCACATCTTCACTTTGCGTCAATTATTAGAGCCCCGCCATATTTATTGGTAGCGCACCGTAGTCGTTTTTCCGGACAGCAAAGGTGCTTTCGGTTCGGTTGATCGATGTGCCCTTTTGGACTGTTTGCTTAAAAAGGTGTGCCCGATAAATAACTAAGCATTTTCAAAGCGCTGTGCGCGCATAGTTTGGGCAGAGTGAGGGTTTATCACAAAGTGTCGCCGACTTCAAATATCTCCAGCGGTGTGAGACAAGGTTGCCGGCTGTCACCTTTCCTCTTTAACTTCGCTATTGATGAAGTCATAAAAACAGTGTTCGCTGGACACGACTTACAACGTGTGAAGCTGCTTCCTGGTGAGCTTCTTCTTGACATAGACTATGCTGACGACACTGCCCTCATATGTGACAGCGCTCAGACATGCCAAGTGGCACTGCACAGGTTAGCACTGGCTGTCAATTGTTTCGGGATATGCTTTGATCCCTCAAAATACCAAGTCCTCCAGTATTGACAGGGGCCTATCCCTGCGCTGACCCTCGTTTGTGATCAGCTAGAAGTCGTTCAGGAATTCAAGTGCCTGGGCAGCTATATTAGCGCCGGCAGTATTTAAAATGGGGTCACGAACTGTATAGCAAAAACTCGCAATGCTTTTGCCAATCTCCGCCAGCTGCGGCGCTGCATCGCTGTCGCCCTGAAGGGCAGAGTTCACAACGCAGTAGTACTATCAACCCTCTAGAACGTTTTAGAAACCTGGCCTGTCAAGTCGATAGGCATAAAGAAGCTAGGCACGTTCGACCATCGTTGTCTTCGCAGCTTAGCTCATCTCTGGTGGGCGCACCACGTGTTTGGCGTCGCATGTTTGATGCGGGAAGAGCGAGTGATCCGTTCAGCACCATTATATCACGCACCAGACTCCGATGGCTGAGCTGCGTGTTGCACATGCCAGGCCACCGACTCCCGCAACGTGCGTTGTTTGCTCGCTCGGGGTCTGAATGGAAGAGGAGGAGGAGAGGTCGATCGATGACTTCGTCCCTCACTTCGAAGTTGGCGTCGGTTGGTACATCCCGACCGCCAACCAGACGTCTCATTGGACACACTTGCTGACCTCTTCGAGCCGGCCTCAGTGCCGTTTGTGCTGAGTTTCTTTGTCCATCCCCCTCTTCTTTCGATTCCCTTTCCAATCGAGATCTCATAGGCAGTTAATAATGTTATTTAAAATTATGTTGCTTGCTTTTTGATTTTTTGTGTTATTTTTCATATATTGTCCTTTTTGTATTGTGGCACATTAGCTGAGGCGTGTTTCTTACTCCCAACTAACGTGTATTGAGGATGATAATGATGAGTTCCATGCCTCTTTCGAATATGGAGCAGACGAATCAGTAATGCTGTCTACTCAGTTTACGATCTCGTTGTTGCATCTCCGTCGTGAACACCTTTTATTGAAGCATAACGTTGAATTTCCGTTGCATTAGTTAAAATAGCTCTCAGACAGCTCGGTTTATCCGATTTCCTCGTCATAGATCCCGTGTGGCTGCGTGACCACTTGGAGTGTGCTTATCCATTCCGATGTTTAAGGGAGTTGCCCAATGTGCATCGATATTCATCTTTTGATGGTTGCGAGCATTTTCGTTTTGCCGTGGCCCCTATTTGCATCACCACTACTACTCTTGCTTGGCGCAGTGAATTGTAACCTCACAGGGACTGATGGAATGCACATTGTTTGACCATTCCAAGAAAGATGAAACGGCCGTCCTGTGCTATTTCCGGATGTGAACTGAATATTTGGTTCAGTGTGGCCCTGACGAATTTCTCTCGAAAATTTAATCTACGTGGATGAATCAAAAAGTAACACCATCTTCTTTAAGATACGCATAGTTATCAACATAGGAATATGTATCATACATCAAAATGAAGCTGGTCCTTTGTGAATCGCATCGTTACTTCTCAATACAGTCACCGTTCATCTCAATAGCAATGTTCTACCTTCGGGTGGGAGCATGTGTCCCTGCCTTGTAAAATTCAGTTGACTGTTCTTTGTGCTACTTCTTTACTCGAACTCCGTCAAAGAGACAACGCATTCTTTCGAAGACTCATAATAGGTGATGAAACATGGGTTCATTATTATGAAACGGAATCAAAGAGTTAATCAGTGAAATGGAGCCGCCCTACGTCACCGCAACCGAACATGTTCGTTGCGAAAGTCAGCTGGAAAACTCACGGCGCCAGTCTCTCGGATAATAACAATAATAATAATAATAATAATAATAATAATAATAATAATAATAATAATAATGTGTCAACTGTGCGCAGTAACGGCGCTTCGCTGCCGTGCGACTACCACCAGTCGCACGCGGGCTGAGTATACCGCGTGGACGCTCACTCATACGCGAATTTGCGGATGCTGAAAATGTCATTCTGATTAATTTTTTGACAATAGGAGAAGCACTTATCTCTGTGGTCTACATTGAGACCCTGACGAGTCTCAGAGCAAGAATCCGACGAGTGCGACCCAACTTACCAATCGACAAGGTCATTCTTCTGCACGACAATGCTTGATCACGCGTAAACATCAGGCCAATGGTGACAGTCGCCTGATTCAGGTGGACAACTTTACCACATTCTTCATACTCACCAGATTTAGCGTCTTCAGATTATCCTCCCTTTTGCCCCATGAAAGAGGGTTTGAGAGGCAAACATTATTCCAGTGGCCAGGAATGGAAAGCTGCAAGGAAGAAGTGACTCAAAGAAGAGTCAGCGAAATTTTATGTGGCAGGGATACATGCTCTCATTAGATGGTGGAACATTGCTATTGTAATGAACTGTGACTATGTTGAGAAGTAGCAATGCGATCCACCAAGGACCAGCTTCATTTGGATGCATGATATATGTTCCTGTGTTGATAACCATACCTATCATGAAGAAGATGGCGTTTCTTTTTGATTCACCTTCGCAGTTCCCACCTTTCACTAATCTATAACTATCTGTGAGTGACTAAGCTAGCTCGTAACATAATCTGGCGATGGCGGCTCGCTTGAGGAAGTCGCAGCTCATGGACGAACCCTATCCACGTGCCATGGCGGCTTGTAGCGAGAGTGGCTGCCTCACGCTAACAGATTTAAAGCATTCGCGTTAGTCTACTGGCAAGTACGGTTCCCAGTGAATAAAGAGAAAGCATGAAGGTGACGGGACGAAAGTGTATTGTGGTACACTGTTACCGCGACACCGGATGATGCGAGCTAGCTAGGGAAGAATTTGAGGGGCCGAATGATGAAGCGGCGTGTTGAATCCAACCGTGACGCCGTGAGTGTTTTTCGTGTGTGTGTTGTCTCAGACAAACGAATGCAACTTACATATCAGCATTCTGCAAACAACCTCTGTGTACAATGAGAAGGTAATTTTATTTAATATTTTACACAACATACTCAGGTAATCCGGGGGAATCTCCAGACTGCTACAGCCTGACGTGCCTTCCTCGCGGTTCACTTGTTTTATTCGCGGGCTCGTAAGAGTAGGATCACAGATTCCAACACCGCATGGGACAGATGGAATACGCAATGCTAACGATTCTGGAAAAGATGAAACGTTTTTCAGGACATGTAATGACTATCTTCGTGTGATGAATCTCTTTCCTAAAGCATTTTACTTTGTCTACCTCTGTTGTCCCACCAAACAACCATGTCTTGTCTCGCACCATTTTTTATTCAAGTAACCATGTCGCGGACCGCCTTGCTCGAGGTCAGGTGCAGGCGAAAACTGCTCGGCTACTCTCCGCCTCCGCTCTTGCATTTCTGGTTTCGGGGCTGGTGTCTTCATTATTTTTGGGCTGGTTCTCAGATCGACATGGGCGTCTGTTAGCCATTGGTGTCATTCTTCTCGGTCAAGCCGCGTCTCACAGTGTGATTGGTGAGTTGGCCGCCGCGCTTTTTGTCTTTCGTTTGCCAACTGCATACCCTTTTAGTAGCATCTGTAACTAACTTCTGCCCTCATAACTCGAGTCTGATATCTTTGACATATTACCGTAACCTATTATGATCGATTTTCCGCCCATCACTTTTTCAGTATCGTGTTCCCAATAGCTCTTGGTCGTAGCTTCCGCGCATTATGGGTCGTACTAATTCCTGCACCCGTAGCTTTTTCCTTTTTCTTTTCCTCATACAAGAAAGCGCATTTTGCCGCCGAACGTTGAAGCACTAATCACTCGACTATGGGCTTCATTGGATTCGTTTCACCTCGATCTGTTAGTCCTTCTGCTGCATTAGCTGGCCTCGAGGCAACTGGTTGGTTCACCAACGTTCGCACACTTTGCCTCGCGGGGAGGTCTGGATCTGCAACGGGCCGTCATTTTGGACACGATTGGAGTTACACCCATCCCCCTCGATGCCGCCACATTTTTATTATGCAACCTTTACTTGAATGGACAGTTAAGGTGATCACCGCCTCCTCCTCAATATATAATGCTATCTTCCTTGGAAGACCTATTATCTGCATCTCACTTTCTACCCTCAGAACTCGGAACCTTCCATGAGTGTGCGTTTACCATCTTATCTACTTGTTAGGAGAAGGCAGTCGGGGTGTTTAAGCAAATACAAGCGATGTCTAGGCTGCTCAGGCATGTAGCGTGTTCATGACTCGCTACGCATTGCGAGCGTCTTTTGGAGGGCTAATTGCGTGGATCGTTTAATGAGACGAGTAGCTTACTGAGGATCGTAATCATCTGTTGTTACCGAGACTTTCCAGTATTGAGATAACTAATTGATTTGGGTTTCGCAAACGAATCCGCATCTTAGCTTGGCTATCATGAGATCCCGCATCTCGACTGTTGCCAGTCCGTGTTTGAGACCACTGAATAAGTTACTAGATGTGATATAGCGCCGCTCACTATCCACTGACTTACACGTTACTGCCATGCAGAGGACAGGGTAGCTCCCTCACCAAGCGACGAGCTTACCAAACTTAAGCCGCCAACTAACTCATGGCATTATACGCAGTTTGGTCTGTGTGCTGATTGCAGAAGAGTAGTAGGGAGAGTTGAATGTTATAGGAAGAAATTCATCACATCTAGGCTCACTCAGACAGCAGTCACACGCCCGGAAAAGCACTGTGCGCGCGTTTCATCCTTTCGGGAGTCATCAGCAGTGCGCATTCCATCGGACCCTTGGTAGGGCTCGAACCCGCATCTCGACTGTTGCCAGTCCGTGGTTGAGACCACTGAGCTACGGGGGGGACGGTGAGGGAGCTACGCTGTCCTCTGCACGGCAGTAACGTGTAATTCAGTGGATTGTGAGGGGCGCTATATCACATCTAGTAACTTATTCACGATGGTTGTTGCCGTCCCCCCCGTAGCTCAGTGGTCTCAACCACGGACTGGCAACAGTCGAGATGCGGGTTCAAGCCATACCAAGGGTCCGATGGAATGCGCACTGCTGATAATTCCCGAAAGGATGAAACGCGCGTACAATGCTTTTCCGTGCGTGTGACTGCTGTCTGAGTGAGCCTAGATGTGATGAATTTCTTCCTATAACATTCAACTCTCCCTACTACTCTTCTGCTATCATGAGATCGTACATCGCTGCTGTTGTGGGAAGCCGTGGTTCTGGGGACCAACTCTGTAAGGTTTGTTGCCTGCCGGTCCTTGGATGTTGACGCAGTTTTCTCACAAGTCATGACAGGCTCTCACTCCATCACTCATGGTCTAATGACATAAGCTGCTGTTCTCGAAAAGCGATGGATTCGTATTTTATCGAAGCCTAAGTGTACGTACTACTGATAAGTCTCGCTTGGATGTAGCAGCCGTCTAGTGCTTTTCCAGACGCTTGGGAGACCATCTGACTTAGAATGGACTACGAAGGAATTTCCAACAATCACGAGGTTGTTCCGTATTCAGCTTGTGTTTTACTCCTTCAAGTGCAAAACCGTCGGACGTTTTTAAGCTGTTGGAATCTACATGACAATGAACCAGAGGTGATATATCAAATTAATTTTCTTGGTAGCTGCATTAACGGTGGTTGTATCGTGGCTGAAAAATTCTACTCTCCATATTTAGATGTTGGAACTATCTGTTTAAAATCTGTGACACCACAAGGGCTTTCTTCAGTCTTGATTTACTTTTTTGCTGGACAGTATGAAAGGCGGCTCTCTAAGATATCGGCATTTAGCCTCTGCTGTCTGGGGACGCCGGATGTTTTCATCTTTGGCTACTAGGCATTGCTCATGTCACGTGGCAACACCAGCTTATTCTCTGTGATGGGTTGCTGTCCGCCCTTGTATTTTATAGCAGCAACTTTGGCGGAAGCAGTCATTGCTTCGGGTCAATGCTGTACGTAATTACCTGCTCGTCGCATACACGTGTTGCATGATAAGAGGCCCGTGAGGAACTTTCGATCTCTAGAAATTTGATGGCTAATTGCCAGACTGAGTGATATTGTTCTGGCTCTGCCTCGAGGTCGGAACATTACAGTTTATGCCATGCAACCGCATAACGTCTCCGAGTTCTTTGGCTGCATGTTTAACTGTGACCTAAAGTGGATAATGACAAGGAACATCGGGAGCCTCAACGTATTTGTCTAGCCATTGTAGCATTATCCGCGCTCAATACCCACCTGTCTGTGACTGTTCGATGTTGTCCATTTGTAGCCGCTTGTTCGTACATAGGCTGGTTTGCCGAACTACCTCGTGGTGCCAGCTGGGTGGTTTGGGTGTACCACATTCCAGCGAACGGTTCGACGACAGTGTCTCACCTCGGTGGGGCATTGTAGTCCAGCATTTATGCTGATTCATGGGGAGGATTGGGCCCCTGTTTGGTGATCTACCAAACACAAGAGACGTATGACCTGTACATTCAATCAGCGACTCCTAATGGGCGCGATTCCCTAAATTCGCCCCCCTGCCTTGCGGTTAGGTTATTTAGCCAAAACCTCGGAGTGGGGTCCCTAAGTCAACTCCCTACTTCGACTTGGGCAACCGAGTAGTATTACGCCCTATCACGAAACCATGGACTACACTACAACGTGCTCATCGGATACCGTTTCTGCTTCGTACATTCACGCGACTTCATCATACGCCAATTGTTTGTTTGCTAACACTCCTTACTTTCCGTTACTCGATTAACGGTGTTCAAAAATCTGGCTGTGATTCCGGTTGCGCCGCGAACTATGGAATTCAACCTATGGCTCTCCTTCGTCCCCGATCCTCATTCTGTCTGGCGTGTTTCAACATTCGAACACTCGTGCAGATTGGACAGCAAGCCGGTCGAGCGCGCATCTTAGGGTCCCACGTTATCGACGTTTATTGCCTTTCAGAAACCCGATTGCAAGACCCTAGCATTGCGCTTACATTGACATCCCCCATTGATCACGAATGCAGATATTACCTCTGTCTTTCTGGAGATCTAGATGCAGCCTCAGCGTGTTTGGCTGGTGTAGATATAGGTATAAATGGCAAGGCCGAGGCTGCATTACTGGACTGGTTCCCGATTAACAGCCGACTGTGTGCGACGACTTCTATCGGGATCTACATCAGCCCTAGACTAATGCTAAAATGCCCTTGCTGAGGCTTTTAATGCACGAGCTGGCCGTCTGTTACCATACGAACGCCATCTTGGTGGTCACCATGTGTTCGATGAGAACCGCTCTGATAACCGAGAGAGGCTTCTCCCATTGTACGAAGACTACCATCTGTATTTTTCGAGCACTAACTTCAGGCCCACAACGAAGCGTTCCGCAACGTGGCGTCCCTCTTCGCCAACACAACTGTGGCAGCGATGGCCATCGGGAAGCTTGAGTACGGAGTGTGGAAAAATCATCAGCCTACCGCTGGCAAGAAGCTGATGGTGTACAAATCCATGGTGCTGTCCGTTCTTCTATACGGAAGCGAAACGTGGACAATGTGCCGGCGGGATGTGCGATATCTCAAGCGGTTCCATCAACAGTGGTTGCAACGGATGCTGCGCATCGGTTGGGGCGACAGAGTTGCAGACACGGAGGTGCTGCGTTGAAGTGGAATGTATGCAGTGGACTGTGTACTGTTGCTGAGACACTTTAGGTGGCTCGGTCATGTGTGGTATATGGACTCAACGCGGATACCGAAGCAGCACTTATGTGGTCAGCTGAGTGTGGGGTAGCGGCATGTGGGGAAACCGAAGCTTCGTTATCAGGACATGATCAAAGTGAGCCCATCACGTTTGATTTTAGTTGTTGGGAATCAGAGTCGGTTGATCGGCGTACATGGCGCGATCTGACCACGAAGACCGTTGCCGAGGTGCAAGAGAAAGCCCTCGTGTATGCAAAGAAGCAGCGGCAATCGCGGAAGCGTCAGACGCCTTCAGTTTGATCGCCTCTATCACTCTCAGAATACTGAATACTGTGTTGTAGGAGCAACTAGGAGTTTCAACCTGTACATCTTCATCGAAATATGATCAAAATTATTAAAAAACTATCTATTACCTGTCAACACACTGATCGTTTTTCAAGTTTTCACACGATATGATAAAAAGATAACGCAGTACTCACAGTAAATTGTGAGATATCATTATCAATGGATTCTAACACTAGAAAAATGTATATCCAACGGTTTTCAACTGACACACCGAGTTTGCTTCCACGATATGCTCCGCAAATTTGTTCCAAACATTAACCACTCGTCATTCAAAGCACATCGGATGGGAAACTCGCTTCACATGTGGAACCACAAGCTTGTACTGGTGTCCGCATGTGCCGCAACGTATTCGTAAGTGGAGCAGTGGCTGCATCTAGATGCATAATGCGACAGATCCTTATGAGGTTGACTTGCACCCGGTAATAGGCCAGGGCGTAAAGTGCCAGCCTCTCGCACCTGTCTTCGTACGGTAAGCTCTGCAAACTGAGGATTTGTCTGGTAGCTACGTGTTGAACGCGTTCGATTCTTTGCGCCCCTTTTCGAGTTGTCGCAAGATGCTGGCGAGCTGTTCTCTGGCAGCGGCGTTTTATGATGGCAGAGAAGAGACGGGTGGCCTGATGCAAAAGCTGCGTTTGAGCTCCAATAGCCTGTTCAGTCCGTTTTGGTGTAGAATGTTCATGTTAGCCACGGACTTCAAACCGTAACCTGAGAGCATGTCTAGGTCGTTCCCGGAAGGAGTGGGATGTAGCATTCGACCATCGCCACCATTCTTCAGGCTACTGAGGAGTTGGCCAGAAGACGGACCTAGACAGACTACATACAAATGCGGTTAAGCACTTGCCTAAATCGGCCGCAGTCGTCGGACAGACTTATCACTCTCCACATCTTCAGGTCATCTTCAAACAGAACACATGGCGAACGGAGAAGCTGAGGTAGATCATTGATCTAGAGCAGGAACAATGTAGGCCCCAGCACCGTTCCTTGGGGTACTCCGTTGATCGTAAGATACTTCCAGTTGGTCCGATGGTTGTCCACTCGTACCCTCCACTTTCGTCCAACAAAAAACTCGCGGACCCACTGAGGCAATGAGGCACCAACACCGCATACGGTTCATCCACTCCCACTAGATTCAGGCTTATCAGTAGAACTAGTGGTCCTGGTACATACAGACCTTTTAAATGATCAAACTTGCGAATTTGTGTTTCTTTCACTGCTTTCCATTGCGATGACATCTTTCGAAGCTTTGTTAGTAGACCTCTCATATTCTGTCTGCATCACAACGGTCTGCTGCTCCTAGCTCAGCCGATTCATATGAAACGTCCGGATATTAGGTTATTTCGTCTTGTTATGAATATTCTGCCTGCGTCGTAGGCCACTCTGACAGATGCGTAGTTGTCCTAAAAATAACTTCACATTTTATACATCACATGTTGAAAACTTTGTGCTATTCCCAATTCGCTTCAGCACCAGACAATCACAGGAATCTGCTTTCCAACTTTCGAACGTGAGGTCCGTATAGGTATCAGCAGTACACCGATACGTAGTACCGACGCTTTGCTGCCGCGCAACTGTTAACAGTCGCGCGTGGACGAGGGTCGCCCGTTCCCCCACTTGGGTTCGAAACTTCGCCCTTGGATCACAGGGTAGGCTTGTGTTGCGGGTCGTATAGCAATTCTATATATAGAAATAAGCTTAGAACTGAATTGGAATTCATAATTTCTGGAGGTTTAAGTTTATACACGCCTCAAAACCTTCAGAAACCATGAATTTTATTCGGCTTTAAGCTTATTCCTCCTCAGTAAGCGGTTACCGGGCATGCGTAGTATGTGCTCAGGTCAACGCAACTTGTTTAGTGCTATCTGTCCTCTAAGGAGATAGGCTTATTGTCACTACCTAACACTCGTCTACATACACCATCTTTGCGGATGTGCTACTATTTATCGAACGATGATCGAAGAGTTGAAGAATTCTCAGACCGAAGGAGCTGTCTTACTCCGATACAGTAGGACAGCCTCCAGTGTGGTCTTGTGCACAGGGTCTTACATACCGAGGGAAACTCTCTTCTGACAGCACAGTTGTTGCAGACTCACGAACACGGTTCTAACTTTTGCACTACTTTAACTAACCTGATGTTATGCACCCATCGTTGCCAGTGTACGAGTGGGTTTGAGCGACGTTAACTTACCATCTGGTTCGTTCTTCACTTTTGTTTTCAGTTGCTATGATTTTGCTTCGGTTACCAGTGTGGCTGTTCATAATCGCATCTCTTGTTTCCGGAATTATTGGAGGTGGAATGATCTCTCTGTGTGTCCAAATGACCGTTTGCTTCACCGATCTCATCGCGTTACCCCCTCATACGGATGTGCCCAACGAGCTGACGCCACTTTCCACCGAGAATCGGCAAGATCGACGTCGTTTGCTGCTTCTCGGTATTTTCGACTCCGGTCTATCGTTGTCGGCCGCTCTCGCCAATGTGGTCGCAGGTGAGTTCAACATCTTTTCATGTGTGCGTGTGCCGCATGACCCATAACCACCATTCAAATGCTCATACACGCAGCATTGACTCTCCATATGTATGCGCGTGAAAGCCTGTTTGTCTATCCATCTGTCGCACACCCATTTGATCTCAACCACGTGGTCCATGCGTCCATATATGGTGGTTTTAGAATGACGCCCGGACATAATGTAATGTAACTGTATGAGTATATCATCGAGACGTGCTCTCAGGCGAGTAATCTGCTACGATCGAAAACACGCACATGGGTTATGCTAAATCTTCCAAGGATACGTGAGACCAGCCTAAAACAGATCCCATTGGGACTCTGCCCACTGTCTTGTGTTTCAGGTTGTGAAGTCAATGGCTCCTGATAAAGTCCCTCCAAGCAAATCTCCACTGCAATGTGGGGCAGGGCACCTAGAACAAAATCTTTCCGCCGGATCCGGCAGCCACGGAAGATATCATCGACCCACAAGATCTCGTCATCAGAACTGTTTTCTCCCCCTTCCGTTTTTTCAAGGTTTTCAGGTGTGGACAAACTCACTGTTTTTCTGGTAGTGCAGGGAATTTTTACGGTTGCTAATGTTCGTGTAACTCACCTCTTTGCTATTTTTGATCCCTATAGATGTGTGCGAATCAGTTTACCTACGTTCGACTCTGCGCTATTGTCAACGTAGTTAGTCGCTTTAAATCTTTACTTCCACGATTGATACAAGATGCTTCCTATCACCAATTCTGGGGAGAGAGCGCATAATTCTCACTATATAATATACCGTCACTTTCTTGGTGGAGTTGGATGCAGCTGAACGAAACTATCTTAATACATGGTCAGCGCACCGCCAATAATTACAATTGAGCATTTAGTTCTCATCGATTTTTGACCTTGTCATGCTTGTGAGTTGCTATCAGGTAACAGGATTTATTCGACTCACAACCCGTAGCGCTCTGATTTTGACCCTTTAACCCAGATAGTGTGTGATTTTCGCTGCGCAAGACAGCGGTTGTTATCCGTAAGCGCTAGTCTTCAATGGGTTTTTGCGGCATCATCGACGAGTAACTCCGAAAATACCTTCCATCATCTGGTAAACTCGCATAAAATTCTCAAATAGTTTCCTCACGAATATACTTAGTTGCGCAACCACCAATATCCAGAAGAGCGCTGAACGGCTGTATCATCTTATTGGAGCTCATCAGCAGAACACATCCCATTGGGATTCGAACACGATGGGGGTCGTGCCTCCTAAAGCTAACCCTGTCCTCTGTTCAGCGATCGCGTGCATGGTAGCGGAATGTGAGACAGCTGGTAGCTTACTCACGTGGTACGCTACCGTCACCTAGGAGGCAGTGGCGCAGGTCATTAACTACAGGTGAAGCAGTCGCTGGTTCTAATCGCCAAGTGTTCGATTAAAATGCCCATTACTTATCAATTTCAGCCGTTTCCAAGATGTTATTCCCATACAACTGAGGTTTGCTTTTTCGAGACTGCATGATTTTTCAATGTCAGCCATCTCCATCAGCATCGTCTGGGGACACGTCAACTGTTCATGGTAACTTTAGGGGCATCCCGCAGCCTACATAAATAGTATGGCGCTCCCAGAAACCGGTCGCACGTTGATGCATGCAATTCCATCTCGCACTTCTACAGTGCGTTTATACCATTCTCCGCAAATTTTATATGATCATGGCCGTTTGGAACTCACGCGCAGACACGAGTGCTTCTAAGGCGCAGGTATCTCCGATGGAGCGACATCCATGTGGACACCACACTCAGCAATGGATTGTCGTTGTCCTCACATAGACCAAGCGTGATGTGTCCATGATGCAGGCCTGCGTTTTTTTCATATTCTAATACTCATTATAACCTATGTTAACTGCATTGTGGTCTTTGTGGCCATTTCGTTCACTGACAAATGGTATGGTTGACCAAACGGTCAGATATTCACTGTTGGCTCTCTCTATGGTGTGCATTGCGAGTGATTCATTCGTAATACGTTAGCTATATGTTTTTCCCTTCCTACGCAATACCATCTCGACCTGTGTTTTCTCTTGGCTTCGATTCAACCACAAAAGTGACGGTGTATAGCTGACGTCTAAGTTCCACCGTAATCGGGACTAGCGTTCCCAAAGCATTGCTGTCCCCTGAATTCCTCATATAGAAATACCCCGGCTGGGATTCGAATCGGTACTTGTTTGGTTCAGCATTATGATTTCCTGGTATATTATTCGGATGCTGTCCAATAAAACGACGCCGGTGCATATTTATTTGTAGTACCTCTCCTAGTTCAGTTCATCTCAGTGAATGATTCTTGGTCTGACCACCTCCTAACCGCAGTGGATCCATTTGGTACGTCTCAAGTCCAATCCACATAGGTTTGACGCACCCGGATGAGCACACTTTCAGCATTTTACACTGCAATTGCGAGTGGAAAAATACCTGAGCTTAACGTATAAAAATAGCGTTTAATGCAAGATATATTCACGTACCACTGAGGCAAATAATTGCTTATCTTACTGATGGTTTTCTTTTGGTCAACAACTAATCGAAACACATACGCTAAAATGGAATTGTGGTAAGACGCAATAGGATGGTAACAACCCTAACTTGAAAGTGTGTAGTAGAACCAGATAGCGTTTTTGATAGTTCACCATGTAGTGAATCGAACTGTTCTTCTAGTGCTTTTAACGATAAACCGGTACAAACGTCTGGTATCGCAACAAGAATAGCCTATCCCATTGTGAGAAAAACGCATCCAGAAGAGAGACAAACCTTTTCAGTAAGTTGACTGCACCATTGCTCCCCGAAACTTCAACACATCGCTAGTTCTCCTCATCATTGGTGTGTGTGTGTGTGGCCATACTGAAACATGGTCAAGAAAGACGTCATTCTTCGACCCGGATCACTTTTTGTGATTACTGAGTGCAGGGAACTGTCTAGTGGAATACCAAATGGTTCATTATCTCACGTATTTAGCAGTGGATATCGGAATTCCTCTCTCGGAGCTCCATCTTACTTGAGCAGTGTTTCACAGCTCTTTGTGTTGATATCTGACACACAATAGTCATGCCGCTACTTCATGCAGTAACGCTGCCTCCATGACCACTCTGTACACCGATCTTAGCAGATTAGTCCGCGGTATGCTTCTGTACTGACCATTGCGGTTGTGAAACCGAGCCCCTTAGACCAGAGGACATACAGAGGCTACTTACTTTCGACCATCGGTACCTTCGCAATTTGGATCACATCTGGTGGGAACACCTAGTGAGCAACGAGCATGTTCGATGCTTTGTTTAAGGCACAGGAAAAGGAACGCAACCGCTCAGCACCGTTGTTTCATACACCAGGCTACGATGGCTCGGCCACGTGTTACGCATGCCAGCCCACCGGCTCCCGTGTCGTGCATTGTTTGTTCGCCGGGCGTGTGAGTGGAAGAAGAGGAAAGTTGGCCAAACGATGACTTGGTCGACAGGGATGAAGGCCCTCACTACGAAGCTGGCCTCGTTTGGAGCGTTTCGGTACCCTGGTTGAGGTCCGGAAGACGATGAACACATTTAGCTGGATGCACTTCTTGACATAGCCAAGAGCCGACCGCAAATGTCGTTCGTGATGTGAGCTTCTTTGTTCCACCCCATTCCTCTTAACCTCCTCTCCAACCATGATCTCATCTCGTAGCATCATAATTTTTCTTCTTACCTAGTGGCCGGCTGCTAGCTTACAGGAACGATGTCCATCCGTTGCTGGTAGCTCAGCTGCCTTGCATCTGTTGACCTTCCCCTTTGTTCTTTTACGTATTGCAGCACAGTAGCTGAGGTGTTTCCCACCTCCAGATAGCTTGTATTAAAACAACTTGCGGTTTTTATAAACATAACGGACATCCAAGGCATGCAACAAATTATTCTGTGATTTTCCATCATCATCAATGCACCTTAGTCCAGAGTGAGAAAAACACCTTAGCTGATTTGCCACAGTATAGAGGAGACAAGTTATTAAACATCAGAGACTGCAAAAGCTAAACCATTAACATAATGCTAAAATCACAGTATGCGTTGGATTGAGAGTGGGAGGATAAAGAAGAGAGGAGGGACAAAGACACTCACAACACAACCGCCATTGAGGTCGGCTCCTCGCTGTGTCAGCTAGTCTATCCAACCGGACGCGTTCATCGTCCTTCGGACCCTAGCCACGCAGCCGGGAAACATCAACCAGCGCCAACTTCGAACTGAGGGACTTCATTCCTCTTGGTCAAGTCATCGCTTGGCCTCCCCTCCTCCTTTTACAACCGCAAACCCGGCGCACAAACTATGCACATCGCGGGAGTCGGTGTGTTGGTATGCGCAACATGTGGCCAAACCATCGGAGTCTGGTGCGTGATACAAGGGTGCTGTGGTTTACTTGCTCTTCCTGCAATGAGTACTCGATGCCGAGCACGCTCCTTGCTCACGTGGTATTCACACCAGACCTGAGCTAAGCTTCGAAGGCAACAATGATCGGATGTAACTAACCTCTTTCAGCCATTCCAGTGGACTAAGTTCCGCAAGCTTACAGGAGGGCTGTACAGACCGCTGCATTGTAAACTCTGCCTTTCAGCATGACAGCGGTACTACGGCGACGCCATAGGTGGCGGAGATTGGCTTAACTATCTCTAGCCTTCACTATTTGGTTCGTCACCTCATCTACAATCCCACGGACGCTAATATAGCTGTCCGGATACTTAAAATTCTGGACGACTTCTAGTTGATCACCTCCAAGGGTCAGTTCTGGAGTGGGTACTTGTTTATCTTGGAAAAGGATTTTGCAATTCGAGGGCGCAAACCGTAGCCTATAACGACGGACAGCCAGTGCTACTCTGTCTAGTGCCATTTGACACGTTTGTGAGCTGTCGCGGCATACTCCAAGTCAAGAAGTCGGTCACCTGGGAGCAGCTCCACACCTAAGTGCTGCCCGGCGCACGGCGTTTCCATGACTTCGTCAATGGCGAAGTTGGGGAG